AACATAATATAGCCTCTTCTAACTAACCTTAATGGACATCTTTTAGGTTGCAACCTAATTGGTCTAAACTAGTAATCAATTAACATAAGTCCAATAATAAAATAAACTAGTAATCAATTAACCTAATTGGTCTAAACTAGTAATCAATTAACATAAGTCCAATAATAAAATAAACCCCTAAACAATGGTTAATGGGCCATTACACATCTAAATTAAATAAATTATTATAAAAAATTAATTAAATAAATAAAACAGGATAATAAAAACAAAGTAATCATGCTAGAATTCTTCTATATAGCCTGAATTTTCAATTTCTACACATTCTTGGCATATTTTAATCCTGAATTCAGAGATGTCTTTTTCTCTTGTTTGGATGAAATAATGGGCCTACCATATATGATTGGAAATCTTGAGATATTTAGTTTATAGTCTAACTTGAATCGTAACACAGTTCTACCTATAGATTAAAAAATATCTCAAATAGTATATGAAGATCTAATTTTGCGGATTTGATAAAACTTATCTAGTAATTTGTACTGTTTCAAATAGTATATGAAGGTCTAATTTTGATAAAACTTATCTAGTAATTTGTACCCTCTGAAAGAATATGTTTTTGAACTTTATTGACCTGAAACTATACCACAATATAGATTCATGTGTCTAGTACCTCCTAGTAAAATTTCAGCTCGATCCAATATACTATTTGAGAGATATGTCTAGTATCGCAAAATTGGTCAGCAAACATTTTAAGGACAAATTTGGACTGGACTTAGTTCATATCAACTCATGTTTCATATAATTTAATCAAAATTTAACTCTAATAATATCATTATACATTTTACCTCACTATTCCCTTAGTTTCGTAAAGGTAACTTAGCAACTTGTCAAATAATCAATCAAAACAACATAATGATTTTATAATAATAAAGACTTAAGAATCAAGAAATATATGGAACTAATTAAAATAAAATTTAAGGATAAATTTATGAATAACAATGTAAATCCATGCAAAACATAATGATAAAAAAAAGACACAAAATAAAAAGCAATGAAGTTTATGTTAAAGATTCAAAGAATACTAATTAATTTAAGAAGTCAAGATTCAACTTCAAGAATTTCAAGAAAATAATTAAAATATACAAAGAAAGATTTATACTAACCAAATTTTAATAAAACAAAGCAAGATGATCTAAGAAAAACAAGAATTCAATTCGGCAATACCAAGATTTGGTATGTACCTATTTAGGAAAACCAAGAAAACAATGATGCCCCACTAAGGTTCAAGGGTTTGTATGTGGTTATGCCCTAACTTGTTAATTCAATCCATTCTTGTTATTTTCCTTTGATTTTACCCCTTTTTATCCATAGAATTTGTCAAGTACAAGATTTCTTATATATATATATATAAGAAATCAAGAAAAATGGAAGTGTTAGACAAAAATCATGAAACTAGGCAAGATGATTTTTTTATACAAGGTTTAAGACAAATTTTGAAATAAGAATATATTTTTTAAAAAGAAACAATACCCTACCCTAAACTAGAAAGAATAAAAATCAAGAAACTCACAAACTAAAAAGGGATATACCTAATAAGAGTACAAACTTTGATATCAACTTATACGGATACCTTTCAAGATATGCTAAAATCATATTTGAATGGTTTGTAATTTGATCCAACAAGAACCTTGTCTTGGAGAACTAAAGTCATACATAATGATTACTCTCACTTCACACCTATAAAAAGATGCTAATGAGTAGTATAAAATCACAATGGAGTTTATCACTCTTTCGAAGGAGTTTACAAGTTCAATCAAGAACTTGGTATGAAAATCACTCAACCACACAAAAGATGGCAAGAATGTCAATTTCTTTATTAAAAATAGTCTTTTTAAAAAACAATTCTCTACAAAAGAGTATTTATATTAGAAAAAATCCTAACTCTAATAGGATATCCCTAATGAATATTGATAAACACATTAAATAATAATAATAATTCAATGAACATAAATTTAAATAAAGACCCTGATATTTTTAAAAGAAATAATAATAACTAAAAGATAAATAAAACAATAAAAAAACTAATTTAAATAAGACTAAAATCATTTTTATAATCTACTAGCAAAATCAAAGCCTAACTTTAAACATATGGTTCTTTATCATTTCAAAAAGGCTTTCCATTTATCAACAGAAATCTATGGATGTCTAAATTTTCAATGTAACTGGAATTGCATTAAAATTTCTTTTGTAACTCTAGTTATGACCAAAACAATAGCGAAAGGTCAAAGTTGGCAAACTTTAATCTTCTAATTCTAATTTTTTTACAATGTCTAAATATTCATCATTAAACCTTTCTTGAACATGAATTAATCAAAGTTTTTTTATTATTATTTAATATATTTTTGAAGTCCACTTTAGCCTATGTAATTTGAAGAAGTAATTGAAAGCCTCTTTGAACCTCTTATTTCTAATTCTTGTCACTAAACCATCTAGAAACCTTTAAGAAATCTCTTATTATTGTTTGGATTGCATCATTTTGATTTTCAAATAATTTATTATGTGATTATGAGAGGATTCTTTTAATTTAGTTCTTCATTAAACTACTCTGGCTTATCTAAAAATTAACCATCTTTATGGCATATTTTGTACTTCTCATAATTGTCTATAATTATTGGGTGGGGTTTGGTTTATATAATTTTGATGTCACGATACGAATTATTGTTATGTCAAGCATAATCACAAGCCTAAATTTAGCTTTCTTGGGAAAGATTGATTTGGCTATGGCTTTTTAGATTTTTATATCCACGAGTTTCGCATCAGTTAGTATCAGAGTAAGACTCTATATCAAGTTATATCCCTTTTATCTTCTTCTTTTTTTTCGTATACTCTATTATTGTTGAATTCTTTATCTTCTCTAAAACCTAATTGTGGCATCAAGTTTTTTTTTTTATAAAAGGAAATTATTTGTAACCTTAATTAAATAAACTCTTACTATAAAAAAGAAGAACAAACAAAATCACAAGAAAAAAATTTAGGGTTTGTTGTAAATCTTGATTAAAAAAACATAGTTTGATACTTGCTTTATAATTATGGTTACAATAATTTAGGAACATCCTTTAATGTGTTATAGGAATGACTACAGTAATTTAACTATGCCTTTAGTGTGTTTTTTTTAATAACAATTATTCACACTTTATTTAAAAAAAACTTTTGAACTAGGTTTGTGTATTAAAAAAAAGGTGCATAAAAAAGGGAGAGTCAAATTAATTTTTTTAATATAAAAAATATTTAGATATTGTTAATGTGTTTTTTAGCAAAAAAACTATATAAAAATTGACTTGATGTAACCTAGTTGACTTGAACAATTCAAAGACAAATCAGAGAACTGATAAAAATATAGCTTGACTTAAAAAAATCAAGGTAATATTTTTAAAAAAATATTGAAACAACAACATCTTAAATCTCAACTTAGGTTAATCTGTTGACTCCGTTACCTAGATTATGAGGCCTTGATAATCCTATAGAAAGCGAATAAAGAAAATTTATTAAACTCAATTCTCAATCAATTTAATATTAAAAGATAAGATTAAAAATAAAATTCAACTAAAAAAATAACCGAGTTAACCTATCAAACATGAATCATGAGATCAAGATAACCTTATAAAAAAATAAAAAAAAATTATAAAATCCAACTCCTAATCAACTCAATGTTAAAGAATAAAATTTAAAAAAAAAATCAGTGAAAAAAAAACACAAAAATCATTATAGTTAACCAACAAAATCTTTAACCGAGATCATAAAACTATTATAATTTATTATATAAAAAATTAATCAAATATTTATAAAACTAAACCCGATTACATCAAAGTAAACCGAACTCATCTTAAATCCTATTATAGTACTCAAAAACACTTTATTCTTGGTAACGCTTTAGTTTGTTACAAAATAATTGTTATTCACCTTATTAGATCATTAAGAAATTTGAAAGGTAAACCTCATCTTTGCCCCTTATTGATTTATCAATGTCCTAATTCTACCACATAACTTAAGAGTTTTCAATATTATCCTTCTTGTTTCCAATTAGTTTTGATATTATCCCTAATAATTAAACATTTTCACTTTTTTACAAGAAAAACCTCCATTTTGAATTGGATTTTTTTTATATAGTTTTTTACATAATAAAATTTTTACATATATACATTTTGATAAACTGGTAAATAAACTTTATACTCAATTCAGATGTTAACTAGATAGTGAACCCAAAAAACTCGCAAACCAAGTGATAAGATCATGATAAACTCACATAAAACATATCAAAAATAATAATAAAATCTAATTTTTAATTAACTCAATATTAAAAAATAAATTTAGAAGAAAGTTCATTCAAAAAAATAAAAAATAACTTGAGTTAATATGGTTAGCTCACAAAACTCGCAATTTGGATCATAAAATATGGATAACTCAATAAAATAACAAATTATAAAGTGACATACCAAATAAATTCAATGTTTGAAAATAAAATTAAAAAAAATTTGATAAATCCTGAAAAAAATTTAAAGTATAGTGAAAAAGGCTTTATCTTTTCACTATAGAACATTGGTGTGTGTATAACAATTCATCCTTAAAACATCATACCAAAATATTTCGAAATCAAAATATATGATTCTAATTAAAAAAAAAAAAAAAAAACCAAAACAGAAATGCAAACCTTGCTCTCAACATCTTAGAGGTGCATTTTCAACACATTTAAAGCAACCAATCCTCTAATTACAGGCAAAGAGAACCTGTCCACACATGGCGCATCAACCTCGAAGCAGAACCCTTTTCATATTTGTTTTAACAAAAATTATTCGAAGATGGAATTGTTTGCATCTAGCACTGCAGGAAATTGACCACAGATGCACCTTTGAGCTAAACAAATTCTTAACAATTAAGCCGTCCCCATAAGGTTTCACCTTTTCTTCTTCCTTTTTTATTCATCTTTTCTCGATCACCAACCCACGTAAAAAATAAATACATTTTTTGTAATAGCAGCTCTACATCAAATATTAGGTCCACACATAGTTTAGCAGAAAAATGTTTCTTTTTTCTTTTCTTTTTTTAATATGGTTAGATTGAAAAGATACCAAATTGATTTTATTTTTTTTGGCATTTCTAACTGAATTTATTCCACAATACCAAACAGGTCCAAAGCTGCAATTGATGTCAGGAATTGCCGTGGAGGAAGGTTTCTTGCGGCCTCAGTCAGCAGCATCAGGTCTCCAGGCCCTGCATTCCTTTCCCTCTACTAAGAAAGAATCTGGGGGTGCCACATAACAGAAAACCCCTTCAATAATTTAACAAAAATAAATAGAACAGAGAGAAAAACGGTATGGTATGTATCTTCTCCAAGCTTGCAGGGGTTAGGGATGAGAGATTTCATGCTTCGAGGATGATTTTGAAAACAATATGGGGATTTCTCAAAGCAGTGATAAACTCAATGCAGGTAATGTAAGAGCCCGACCAACAATTTCTCCTTTGTGGATTGCCTAACATCTAACTCGTATCGAACTCTTCTATCTCTGTACTTCATTCACAGGTGCTTTGTATACAACACAAATTGCATACCAAGATTTACAGACAAATACCTGGATATGCAACTGAAGCGCCAATCAGATTCACCTTTACTAGTTATTATTCATCTACTCCTGCTTATCCTCCTCAAGATCTTCAACAAGTGCATTACTTTCCAGCTTTGTCGCAATATCCCCAGTTGTCAATGATATACCCTCCCCGTCAAAGTCCTCCCCTTCTAAATATGCATATCTGCAGGAGCACCCCCAATTAGCAGCAGCATCTTACATATCTATTTATCAATTCATTGTTAAGAGCTTACTTATCATTACTATATTTTACTATTTTGGTTCATATTACAAAAATATAGGCAATGCACATGGTCAACGTCTCACCTTGTAAAAAAATCCAAGGAAAGGGCAAAATGCTTAATAGTTTTTTTTCCTTCAAGAAATCAAAGAAGAACCAACAGAATTTTGTGTAAGAGCTCATGTTATTGTTTTCCAAAAGGAGAACATGCTGCTAGTGATTATTTCTTGAAGTCATAACTTGCTAAAACTTAGATAATAATATTATCCTTGGTGCTAACAAGGCATCTCAAGCAACAGCAGACTCCCTCTAATAAATGAATTCATCTTCTGTCCAGATTTATGAAATTACAAGCCATCAGCAGTCTGCTCTAATTACTGAATTCATCTTCAGTCTATTGTAATGAAAATTATGGGCCTTCCACTACCTGTAAAATACATAAATCTTTAACTCTTCTTTATTATGAAAACCGTATAAATGAAGAGAGAAAGATGTAAAAAATGAAAATGAAAGACAAGTGCAAGCAGCAAGCAGAGATGAAACAGTTACTTGGGAACAACAAAAACAAGAAATGATTTTGTTTCAAGTTTTTTTTTTTTTTTCCTTTTCTGGGCATGGGATTTCCACTATGTCAATTTCTATACCATAGAATAACCACCGGATTTTAGTGTAGGAATCATAGTATTAATTTTCAAAAAGGAGAATATACTGCCCCTGATCAATTCTTGATGCCAGAACTTCCGAGAATTTACCTCCAAAACTTGGATAGAAGTACCATCCTAACATGGCATCTCATGCAACAGTAGACTCACTCTAATTGCTGAATTCATGTCTAAATTTATGAAAAATACAGAGTTTCCAAAGACCCACTCTAGTTGTTGAATTCATCTGCTGTCTAGATTTGTGAAAATTACAATCTTCCACGACACATAAAATACGTAAATATTACTTTAGTCTTCTTTATTACAGAAACTGTATAAATGGCTGTGATAGAGTGAGAGAGAAGTGAACAAAGAAAAATAAGTTTGCAAGAAGTATGCAGAAATTTAAAAGTTAACAGAGAACAACAAAAACAAAAAATGAATATTAGCATCAACTTGCCAGATTGATAATGACAACAAATTTAGCACAACTTCAATTCACATACATATCAGTTTCAAGTTCATGAAACAGCATGGATCCAATTCAGAACAATAGTAGCAATATCAATATTCCTAACAACAGAAAAGAACCAAGGTCCTGGTTGAATTGGAAAGGGGCAAATGAGCCCACAGTATCCATGACATTAAGTCAAAAAAGTAGAAAACAATAAAAGTGAAGGTGATGCCAAAGTACCTAGATGGGTTACATGAAGGAGCCCAGAGGACACATATTACCACCAAGAGAAAGTACGCAAGCAGAGTCCAGAAAGCAGGGATGACCCATGCAACTTGCCACAGCTCACTTAGTGGATCAGTTGTATTGAAGTATAGCTGAGCAAGATAGGCCAGAGGAGAAAGCGTATTCTTAATAAATACATCGGCAAATGATATAGCTATCAAATCTCATCTGTCGGTGAAGATCAAAGAATGACTAGTTTAGGATCCAGAACAAGAAAATAATTATCACCTCAAAACCAATCCAGGCAATGGAGAGCAGTAAAGACACTGCAAGGGCATTGGTAAACTTCCGATACAGTTCTAACTTAGCCATGTTTCTCCTCATCTGCGGCCACAAAACAAGGGCAAAAAAGTAGAGAGGAGGAATCATTTCAAAAGCACAATATGAAGATATTGTGACCAGGAATTCAATGGCAGAAAGAAAACACCCACAAACCATTTTTCACGCGTCCACACACAGTAAACAGCACCAAGATATACATCCATCCCCACTCAAACACACAAACTCATAGGTTTATTTTATTAATGTGACATCATCAGGATTACTACTTAAAACTTCGGAAAGAAAGGCAAGAGAAGATTACCTGAAGCTTCTCTAAAGTTTTTGATAGCGATGAGAAAATCCAGAGAATAAAGCAGGAATCTAGGAAAACAACTGGAAGTACCATAAACACCTTTGTTTTCTTGGAAAAGTCATTGATGTTTCCAAAATATTTAACGAGCTCGAATGCCTCGGAAGCAATAAAATATACCAAACCAAGAACAAGCACGTTTGATGTTATGCCACCGAGGGCTGGCCTAACCACTCCAAAGCCCATCGTGACAACAAAAAGAAGAAGGCGGGATAGAGTCTTCTTCACAGTGGTGAAAGTGACAGCCCACAATGTAATACCCATCGGTCTCAATCCAGCAGAATTAAAATTGGCATATTCAAAATACCAAACAGCCGTCTCGCACATCCCAAGAGCAATAACTGCTGTAATATGGTAATGCAACTGTATGATAATACCCTTCCAGAATTGAACAAACCTTAAGAACCATACTAATCCAAGCACAAGATAAGCTAAAGACATAATTCCAAAGACAGTCATCAAAGGAGTCAACTTTCCCGGCAAATAACCATTCGGGTTCTTCCACACAGTCCTTCCATTAATCAATGTCCCCTTCAATTCTGAGTTACAAAACATAAAATAAAGGTGATACATTCCATTACTGTTTATCTCAACTTCCTCACTCCCCATTTTCACTTCTTCATTTTTTCCTGCAAAGTGCGTCTTAATAACCCTCGGCCAGCTGGGAATATCTGGATTCTTCTGTAAAATCACCTCTCCTAACTTGCAAGAACCCGTCTCCGCAAGTGTACTATTACAACATATAGCATTAATCTTCAAAAATGCCCCTCCAATCCTCTTCCTATCTTGCACATCAAGTATGATTGCTTCAACCACTCCAGTACTCTCCTGCATTCCCTCTTGCCTACTCGCCGACTCTTTAGTCCTCCTAAACGTCACTCCTTCAAACCTAAAATTCACAACCACATTCACATTTCCTTACACACCCAAAACAATCAAAGGGCTAAATTTATGTGAGTTCAATGCTCGTCGGTCCATCATGTGGGAGCCACAAATACTGAAATCTGACAATTCTCAATGCGATGGCAGTATTTAACATCAAGAAATCACAAAAAAAAAACCCATTTTACGCCATCATCCTAAAAAATAACAACCCTAATTACTATATCTAGAGATTTAAGAAAAACCCAGAAATTAAAACACAAATTGAGTAAGAGAACAGTGAAATTAACAAGAGAATGAAAAGAAGCAATTATTTTTATTTTTATTTTTTAAAGAAGAAAACAAAAATTACCTTACGAAAGATTTTCCTGATTGGGTGGTACCAGAGGAATCAGGAGGAGCTTTAGAAGCATAGAGCCCTTCACTACCACCATGGAAAATGAAGGCATTTGTCTTGGGAGTAAAAGCTTCGTTTCTGTACTCATGAATTGATCCCTCCACTTGTGTTGTTGTGATCATGCATAAGAACACTAGTAAGCTTATCCAAAACCCTTGGCTACAGGTTTTAGTAGCCCAAATTCCTCTTTGTTCCATCTCTGATTTTTTCTTTTCAAATTCGATTTTGTCTTGCTTGTTTCCAATCTCTGTAGAACACTAATGGTCGGCGTTTTGATCGGTAAGAATGGTACCACCAGAACAGTTGACCAGCACCGGACCAGTTACAAGGCTGATAATAACACTGGACCTGAATAGGGCTGTTTGCTATTTGATCTGGGCTCGGTAAGGCCTCGCCTTCAATTGCAACTGATTTTATTTGCCTTCACTTGCTCATGTGCTTAGCTACTGGGTTGTATTTGGTGGGGAAATTTTATGGTGATCTATTAGTAATTTTTTTAGTTATTTTTTAAAAAGATATAAATAGAAGATATAAATTTTAGATAAAGATATTTTTCTTATTTTTAGGTGTGATATATATTTTATTATCGATCTCTTTCTTATGTCTAAGTTTTTGTTTTTGTTTTTAAATAAGCCTATAAAATAAGTAATACAATATAAATATTTAATTTTGTGCACCATGAAACATTTTGTATTTGTGAAGCACATTATAAATTATAAATTATTAAAGAATATTAAAATATTTAAGTTGTTTTATTAATTATATCAACAATGAAACGCCTCTCTTCTTTTTTTCACTCTCTCTATTTTTTTCTAAATATTTTTTATATTTTTTGTATTTTTTATTTAATTATTTCATATTAAATTTATTTATCTTTATGTAGGATGATTTGTTTTGTTTGGCTTGATATAAGACTCTTATGATGTTGATAGATTTTTTGATATGTAATTAATGTTCGATTAGACATAATTAAAATTTATTATTATGAATTTAAAATAATTGAAGCTTTAAAAACCAAATTTGAATATAAAACAAATATCCTACTCTTTTTTCTTCAAAACAGATATTAAATTGAATAAATAAATAATAATTAGTACTTATAATATATATCCCAACAAGTTAGAAATGCAATAAGATTATAAAGGCATATACACCCACCATCAAGCTCTAGACATTGTCTTATCCAGTAATGCATGAAATAAAAGCCCTTCTACGTGGCTCTAGTTACCTTTTCATCTTTTTTTTTTTTTTCTCTCGTCTCCTTGTTTTTGCACCTAACTCTATACTATTTTATGTAAAATTTAGTTTTTATTTTTTTATTATTCTTAGCAACAATTGTAGTTCAATTTCGCAAAATCAATCCTTGATAAACTATAAAATAATATTTAAAATCATAAACGCACAATACAATATGAGATTGAAAAAATATTAAAACATAATGGAAATATAAAATGGGAGAAAAACACAATCAATTAGGTATAATGTTTTTTTTATTAATTTTTTTAATTTAATTATTTCACATTAAATTGGCTAGGGATTGGATTTGATGTTTTGTTTTGGTTGACTTTATATGAGATTCTTTTTATGTTAATAATAACACAAGTTATCTTCGATTTTGTTTAGCCTTTCATCAAAGAAATGACATAATTATCTTAACTTCTTGAATCAATATTTGCTTGAAAAAAGAATATTTGTTATTATTTATTAGCACATATAATATTGATTTGTTTTATTGAACATAAATTTAAACTTTTTAGTTTGCAATTATAATTTTTCTTAATGGTAAACAACAATAGCAATGCTTCTATCTTTTTTTTTGCTTCATCTTGCAATGTAGCATGGAGATTCAAAATAGTATTTTTGAAATTATCTCACTTTAATATGTTCATCACAGGGGACATCTCGATAAGCGGATTTATAAAATGAATTAAGATAAAAGAAAATGATGGTAATTAGAAATCTTAATTGGTCATTTGAAACTTTTTGGTAAATGGTTAATTATGCTAAAGAAAATATAAAAATCACCCTAAAACATCTAACTTAAAGTAAGCTGCTTCATGTTTTTTTAATGATAAAAATATACTTATTGTGCTTACATGTTAAAATCTTGTTTAAACTAATACATGTATGTTTATTTATTATAGATAAAAATAAGTATTAAGACCGAAAAGCAATGACTTGGGACTAACACAATAACAAAGCCTAATTCTCACTTTTAAACTATAAGCATTGGATCTGAAACAGTAATGGATGACAAATTAGGCTTTTAGTAAGTTTCTTTGGTTATATACAAAAATGGCCCCCAAAGATCACCATTTACACTAAATGGATATTTGCAGGATTATATTAAACTGGCCCAAGCTCACTTAAAATAATAGGTAGGAGTATATTGAAAAAGAACAAGTTATATCTTTAAGATTGACTTTTGATCTTTTTGTGAAAATTATAAAATTTCAACTTCTTAAATATGTGATCCTTATAATAAATATACCACCCAAGGGTTAATTAATAAAAATTCAATCGTTTATTTATAATAAAAATTCAACTTCTCAGAGACAAGATTATTATAAGAAAAGTATCATCATAGGTTGAATATTATTTTTTGATAACATAACAATTTTCATCTACATTGTTTTTTAATTTTTGAAACATGATAAAGTTTTGACTTCTCAAGGATAAGATCCTTATAAAGAATATGCCATCCTTAGGTTATTCTTTGATAAAAACAATTTTTTTATTTTTTATTTTTATCTTAAGAAAAAAGTTGACTTCTCAATGGATCTCTAAGAGAAATGTATCATCTTAAGGTCAATTCTTTAATGATAAAAATTCCTTAAAAACTATTATTCAATAGGAATTGCATTACATTGTTTAAAAATAAGCTTTAAACTTCTCAAGAATGGGATCCTAATAAGGACTATATCATCCCTGGGTCAATTATTTGATGAATAAGCATAACAGAAAGGATTTTTAAAAACTATTGTTTAGCATGAATTACACAATATTCTTATTTAGAAATATAATTATATATAAACAATATAAACAAACCAAAAACATGCAACTGAACATATCGTTCATACATAAAAATAAAATACAAAGCAAATATACATCCCCACATCAAAAAAAATAATACACAGTAAAACGCACATCATCTATAACAATACATCATATATTAGCTAAAATAAATAGATCAACATATTGGATTTTGACATTGACCTTAAGGTAATGCTTAAATTGAATAAAGATCGCTAGAATTTGATAGAGGCTAATGGGAACTAGATTTGGTAGGGATAGTTTGTGCACTTCACATACAGTAACTGAAGGAATGTTAGGTAACAAAGGTGAATATATATCACATGTTGAATATAGACCTACAAAAAGTTATAAAAAAATAACGATATAAACTCTGATTAATTTTATAGGTGAAGGAGATTACAAGTTGTATTTATTGTTAAAGGGTTTTCAGGAAATTTGTATGTGGATTTTGAATTGATTTCATGTAGGTTGTAAAATATAATTTTCTAGGTAAATTCGATCAGATTTAGAGTGAAGTTATTAGTTTTTATAGGCTTATAATTTATAGTTGTTGCTGGAGAAAATGATTGCTATGTTGATAACACTGGTATAGATTCAGGAGATGAATAGTAGTGCAATGATAATGACTCTTATGGGAAAGAAACTATAATGGATGGTAAGAGACTAGTTTTTTTTTTTTTTTTTAGTTTTTTTGTTTATTAACACTTTGTATGTTTGTATGCGCCCTATATATATATGTTTCTTACATGTTATTAGGAGAGAAACTAAAAATTAATTGAAGAATATTTTTTATTGTTTTTATTTCATGAAAGTATTTCTTTAAATGTAGCTAATTTCTTTTTTTCCTTAACTATTGATCCCTACCATATTTTATTTTTTTCCTTTACTAGAATTCTAAAATTTTGCTAATTCTATTACAAAGATAAATTTTCTATCATTAGATCTAGTTGAATCTCTTTATTTCCTTCTTTAATTACAATCAACTATTTTTAAGTTCAAAATTATTTTATTTTTTTCCATTATTAAATTATTTAATACTTTAAAATTTGGTTTGCTTTTTTCTTGCCCATCACTTTTGCTCCATAATCCTTTTTTATTTTAATTTTTTAAGATTGAAAAATTAGTGGGTCAAAATTTAGATATCATAGATGCACTTCTTTACAATACTTATAGTATAAAAATATTAGAAAATCTATTATTCTATAATTTTGTATACTAAGTTTGTAAAGAGAAGCAAAATAAAGCTAGGAATTGAGGGTTTTTTAAAAAAACAAAAACAAAACAAATAGTCTAATTGAAAGGTAACTACCCTCAAAATAAATTAATAAATAAATAGTTTTATCAAGAGGTAACTACCATTTACCTGAAATGTGAATAGATCAAGTTAAGGGTAACCAACCTCAAATTGAAATATAAATTGGTAAAATTGAGAGATAACCAATCTCAACATAAAATATAAATTGATCAAATCAATAGATGATTAATCTCAATAAAAAAAGTAAATGGTTCAGATTTTAGAAATGAAAATGAATACCTGTAAGTTTGATCTCTTAGATCGAGGAGATAGATAGTGGTGACTCTTATGGAAAAGAGACTATCATAGATGGTGAGAGGAACTAATTGGATTATAGCATGTTAGTAAGTTGTGGTTAGATTTATGTGGAGATAAGATATACTAAGTGGTGGGTCAATAATGAAGTTTACATGGTAAGCGATTAGATGTGTGGAAAAGAAGGACTATTCAGGCTACACTGATAATGGATGGTCAGGGATATTTCAACAACTGTGAGTGTTTTTTTTTAATCTAGTTTAGGTTGTTGTTACATGTTTAAGAGGAAAAAAAAATGGTTTAATTCAAATTTGAGGAGAAATATGAATGAAAAAAAAATTACAACTAGGGTTCTCACATGGAGAAAAAAAGACCTTTTGTTATAAGTCTTGGTGATAATTTTTTAGAAATTATAAAGGCTAGCACTTCTTTCTTTTTTTTCTTTTTTTTCTTTTTTTTTATTTAGTTGATTTCTTTGATTTTAACCCTTTGTATGTTTAGAGGCTCTCTCTCTATTTTTTTAATTTATATTTTTTACATGTTATTACAAAAGAAACTAAAAATTAATTGAAGAATATTTTTTATTGTTTTTATTTCATGAAAGTATTTCTTTAAATGTAGCTAATTTCTTTTTTTCCTTAACTATTGATCCCTACCATATTTTATTTTTTTCCTTTACTAGAATTCTAAAATTTTGCTAATTCTATTACAAAGATAAATTTTCTATCATTAGATCTAGTTGAATCTCTTTATTTCCTTCTTTAATTACAATCAACTATTTTTAAGTTCAAAATTATTTTATTTTTTTCCATTATTAAATTATTTAATACTTTAAAATTTGGTTTGCTTTTTTCTTGCCCATCACTTTTGCTCCATAATCCTTTT